AACACCAAAACTGTTAATACATAAAAACAGATTAAGCCCAAATTACACAGTAGATTAGACAGATTAGGCATCCTTCGGTCTCGAGAGACTATGGTAACATGCTCTGTATGGAGGACTTGGAACAGCATCTAGTGTGGCTGAGAAGGCTAATTCGAGTGACAATCCCTTCCACACTGAAGACAAATCCAATCTGTCCCCTGTCCAGTTCCCTGATTTTGCTGCTTTTGGGACTGCCTCTTTGCCTCGGCCTGCTGGACAAGTGTCTCTTCAAATTGGGAGAGGCTGTGATGCACTGCCTGCCTCCAGGCTGAATGCTCAGATGTCAAGGTTTCCCATCTGTTGAGGTCCATTCCTAAGGTCTTCAGATCCCACTTGCAGATATCCTTGTATCGCAGCTGTGGTCTCTCTCTGGGGCGGTTTCCCTGCAGTAATTCTCCATTCAGGAGATCTTTTGGAATCCGACCATCAGCCATTCTCACGACATGCCAAAGCCAATGTAGACGTTGCTGTTTCTGTAATGTATACATGCTAACAATTCCAGCTCGTTCTAGGACTACTCTATTTGGAACTTTGTCCTGCCAGGTGATACCAAAAATGCTTTCTATCACACAGTAATGGAAAGAAATAAAAGCAAGTAAGCAGTTAAAACCCCTCAGACTCTCAGCTCAGAGCTAAAGAAGGTAATGATAAACACCAGCCTTAATCCTTTTGCAGTTCCCCTTCCCTCTGAACACTCACTGAGGGGGTAAAGGACAGCAAGAAGGAAGAGGACAGGACCAGTGGTCAACCACCTCTCTTAAAGGTAGTCTTGCCTTCTGTTTCTCCCTTCACCCTGCTTCTCTTTTTATACTGTCTTCTGTCTGCAGCCATGCTATGAAGCTTCCTTTCCACCGCTCAGAGCTCCTCTCCCACACGTAGAACATTCTGGTCTTGACTCTGTGCCTCCATGTATCTTTCTACCTTGTTCATGAGCCATCTCTGTCCTCAGGTGCCTTCCTGTCCTCTCTTTCCATGGGCTCAGTCTGCCTCCTACTTAAATCAGTTTCTAATCCACAAGGAGAGTTGACTTATCCTTCTAAAGTTGCCTATCTGGAGACCTTCAGTGAGGGTTTCTGTCAAAATGTTCTGGAAACCATTGAATACTGGGTGTTGCCCTGAATCACCCCTATGTATAGTAGCAGAGTCAAAAGTTTCAAAGTTTGGTGAGGCAGAGCTTTATTGCACATACATTCTTATTCTTCTGAAGCAAGACAGATTTTCTGTCTTCTTTGTAATTCTCTTTTTGATTGTGCTTTCCAACCATTCATCCTAAACAGGTGTTGAATTAAATGGTTTATAATTCTCCTCTTTCTCTTTTCATGACCGTGTCTTAAGTTACCACATATATTGCAAAGGTTGCCTCCATGCTGTTGTCAGATGTTCCTGGTGGTCACTTAATAATGCAGCAACAGCAACACGTGGTAATGACTGACCCCAGAGGCAAGATAAGATATTAAAAGGGCCCCTGCTTCCATGTAGGGCACTATTGGAGTTTAGGAAAGTGGCTTTTATCTTTTTTTAAAAACTTTTGGATTACAACTTCCAGACTTCCCAATCACAGTCGGTGGCCAGACTCCCTAGGGGGATTCTGAGAGTTGTAGTTCAGGATAGTAACTCTCCCAAACTCTGGGGAGTCTTAGATTTGCAGCCCACATTATGAAACGGATTGGATAGCTCATGGGTTTAGGTATCTGGCTGTGGAGCCAGATACTCTCCCAAACTCTGGGGTGTATTAGATTTGTAGCCCACATTATCTGGCTGTGAAGCCAAGAAGTTGGGAGTTTGATTTCCTAATGTGCCTCCTAATGAGTAGAGCTAACCTATGTGGCCTTGGGCAAGCTGCACAGTCTCAGGGTGCCCCCCTCCCCCTGTGGTGAGAATACTTACTTCTAAGTATTTTCTACCTGGAAAACCCCCCCCTGCGGTGCGAATACTCACTTCTAAGTATTTTCTACCTGGAAAAACCCTAAAAAGGTTTGCATAAGTGAGAATCATCATCAATATTATAAAAACAGGAAGATGTTCTAGTTTGCTGAGTCCAGCTTGCTCCTTTCTGAAGGCTAAGAGCAGGTGACAAGGTACAAAACTGAAGCTGAATTTATTGGCTGTAGACTCCCATTCCTTTCCTACATCAACCCTCAACCTCAAAGGGCAGCCCAAAGAAACACAGTCAGGTCTTAAAAATACATGCTCAGCACTGGATATTGGGAGAGGATGGGTGTGAGGTGGAAGGCATCCAGTCTAAAGCTTCTGGGGGGTGTGCCATCCCTCTCAATAGACGAAGCCATCAAAAGACAGATAATGGCTTTGGAGGAGACTATGGAAGAACTGAGTATGGGGAAAGATGAAAAGGCTGGGAAAAGCACAACTAACAGAGGGAGGGAGACCTTTTTTGGGGGAAAGATAGGGATGTAACAGAGGAGGGGGAGAGGGGGCAATTAGAGGCTGTAGAGGAAGGAGAGTGATGTTGAGTCTCGGAGGAGGAAGAGGAGGAGGAGAAAAGGAGTAAACAAGAAGAAGGCTGGGTGGAAATTGTGAAAGGAGATCCTTGGACTGGTGAGTGAGTTCAATTTAAGGTTCTCAGAGAGTTTGCTGAACAGCAGTGGAGGAGACAGATATACAGAAAACCACCATGTTGGGTTGAAACTGTAGAGAAGAAACAGGCAAAGAGAGTGGAGAGAGTGAGAAGCTTGGGATCAGCAGAATAGATCATGTCTTGGGCACCCTGGAAATATCATGAGGCAAGTCCCTCCTGACCAAGATCACGGCTGATCCTGGGCACGAAAGTATGGGAACCCCTTGTAGGTCTGACCAAGATCAGAAGGGCACGAAAGTATGGGAACCCCTTGTAGGATGGGTCTCTTACCCACATCAGTAGTGAGGTTGGCATGTGAAACCAAGAAATCGAACAACCTTCTCAAATGGGAATACAAAGACACGGGTTCGACACCCTCGCCTGTTGTTAGGGATTTGTTCATGTTTGAAAGAAGAAGTCACACAGAAAAGCCCCTGAAGGAAAAGGCTGCATGAAATGTTGATGCTGAATCCTTAGCTACGTTGCAGAATAAATATTCGCCTTCGTTACAAGAGGGAGTCATGGCGTCGTCTGTGATGGGAAAGGTGAAGGAAGAGGAGGGGGGTCTGCACAAGATCACAATGGCAAATCAGTCTGTGATGATTTGTTCAGACATACGGGTTATTGCTTGAAGCTGCAGTTGCTAACTGATGAACATGTAAAAAGCAGAGCCTGTTTAGAGATGCTGGAATTCTCCTCCCTCCCTCTCTTGCACTAAGCACGGCTATCAGGCATTAAGCGGTGATCTTGCTGGAACTGCCAGTGAATAGCAAGCCCTTCAAAATCATGCATAGCCCATATGGTGTTGCTGACATTACCAAATGATGCTATGGATTAATTACGGCTGAGGGCATTAATAAAAGGGACTTATCTCGGGCATGTCACTGAGGCACAGCAGACAGTTGCACAGAAACCTGGCACATCTGCCAAGGCAGTCTGAAGAAATTATTAGCCAGCCACTGCCTCCTGTGCGGAATTGCTAAAGGCAATTTCACAGTAATAGTTCCTTGATTTCTTTCAGACAGAACGGCAGTGAGTGAAACTTAAATATGTATTATGGAATCATATTCATACGAGAGGCCGCCATGAAGAAATATATGCTGGTAATCTGCAGCATGTTCTTAAAGCCCCTGTCTTGATTTGTTCAAGTGCCGGTGAAGAAATCTGGAATATGTGGGGGGGAAATTAACACATGAATGGATGTCTCTGTGTCAATTCAATTCCAGCTGAAACCCGCACATGTTGAGGAAATTTAAAGTGAATGGATTTGGCTGGCATGGCTGAAATGTCCTAAGTTAATGCAATTATAAAGAGATGCTAGTGAGATTCAAAAGCAAACCAAATGCCAATAAAGAAGCATTTAAAGTCTGCAAAAGTTTGCTGCTCTTTCAATATCAAGGCCAAGGGATTGAATGGGGGGGGGAGTCAAAGCCTTCTGCAAATTCCTACACTGTGATGTGTCTCAAAAGTTATCCCTATGTCATCAGGGGAGATGCTAGAAACTTGAACAGGTTATATCATATACAGTGGACCCTCTGCTTACAGAGTTAATCCGTATTGGAACGGTGGCTGCAAGTCGAAAAGTCTGTAGGTCGAATCTCCATTGACCTACAATGCATTGAAAAGCGATTAATCCCATAACTGGCAGTTTTTATTCTATTTTTGTTCCATTTTGGTTTTTTTCTGGTCTGTAAGTCGATTCTCCGGCTGCAAGTCGAATCTAAATTTTGCGGCCAGAGAAGTCTGTAACTCGAAAAGTCTGTAAGTCGAGCCGTCTGTAAGTCGAGGGTCCACTGTACAGTATTCTGTTCTCCAGTATTCTGCACATTGACTGATGGCAACTAGAACTCATTTACACACACCGGAAAAATGGCTACCCATAAACCATCAGAAACCGGTTCATACTGGGGGTGGGTGGGGACTGCCCAGTCACCCCCTTCCCACTGCCCCCATCACCTCCCAACCTGGTCCTGAAGCAACACGGCCCCCTCCTCTGCTGACACTATCATCAGAGCCAACAGGCCAGATTACCTTCCTGGAGCCAGGCCACTGCCTCTCTGCACGTACCCATCTATCAGCTGAGCAGCAGGCACATGCACAGAGACAGTAGGACTGGCTCCTGAAAGGGCATAGGTATGGAGATGATGGGAGCAGTGGGAAGGGGATGAGCAGGCTTCTCATTTTGCCAAAGCAAAACAAAGTGCAGAGAGCAAAAGAGTTTGGCGCTTCATTTTGCTTCAACCAAATGGAATCCAGGAAGCAAACTATGAACCAGCCCAGTTTGTCATTTTCCCCCCCTGGTTTGAAGTTTGGTTCATTACCATTTCTACAGCAACGTGTCCAGCTGGAACTGGCCAGCTCTTTGATTAATCAGGTATGAGTTTATTAAGGAACTTTCCAATTTTGGGAGGACTACAGTGATCAAAAATAGACTGTAGCAGACTATTCACAAGTCTCTACTAAGATCCTGTCTTCCATTGACCTCAAATGCCCATAAATACTTGTCTTTGCTTTCAGTGTGGGTGATCCTGACATCTTATCATGGAGCCAAAGTTGTTGCTTCTGGTGAACAGTCCACTCTCCAGTTGAATGGATCAGGTTGCTTAGCCAAGGATTCCTCATTGGTGGTAGCCGGCCTCATAGTAATCCTTTTGGGGAAGGAGCCCTTGTAAAAGAAAAGGAGTTCCCTGTCAACCAGTTGGAATAATCACCCACATTTCCAGATCCATGAAAAGGCCACATTAAGATATGTTTGAATCTGGACTTCCGTATTGTGGAGCTTGTCTGCCTCTGTGGTGATTTTGCACAATAACTATGTTTTGTAAATATGTTTGTGTTGCTTTTCATAGTCAATTGCTGGGATTGACAGTTGTATAGTGTGAGGTATATGCCAGGAGTGGCAGTTATGATAGCTGAGAAGTGTGAAATAATGTTTATGGATGAAACTATGAACTGATTCGTCTGTGTGCTTGCTGGCTGGAGAGTTCCTGTTTTGTGAAGGAGAAAGATAAATAAGAATGATGGATTATTTAGTACTGACAGAGCTGTGAGAGAATGAGTGTGGCCTGTTTTGGGAAGAGTTTGAGAATGGAAGTGAGGAGTTGATAGAACTTGTGTCTAAGTAGGTAGGTAGGTAGGTAGGTAGGTAGGTAGGTAGGTAGGTAGGTAGGTAGATAGATATGAGGATCAGAAAGAAGATAAAACTATAATTATATTAATGAAATTATATTAGAACATTATGAATAGGAAAAGTAAAGGCTTATGATTATATAGTGCAGAAACTGATAGCTTTAAATGTTGCCCTTGTATTTTAGTTTGCGTTTCTTTGTAGGTTTTTAATAAAATGCTTATTTGTTTGCAAACCCTGCCTTATTTTACAAAGAATTGCCCCATATTTTACCCACATTTAACACTGGTCATTTCTATCACAGATCTACATACTGTCCGCAAAGTAAATAAAGCTGTGTTTTCCTGAAAACCATTCCGAGGTGTAGAAAGTGCAGTATGAAAGCAGCCCTTAACTGTAGTAGTGTTATTGCAGCAGAATAAAAGGGAACACTCACTTTTTGCCTGGGTTGGGCACAGGGGGTGGGGGCTTGGTTGTCATTTAGGCGGTGGCACAGAGAGGTGGAGAAGATGTGCAAGCATCTCAGGCCTCATAGGTTAGGAAGGACAGCAAGATCTGTACTGAAGGCTTAGAGGCCAGATGAAAACAGTGTCATAATCTTCAGGGATACTGACAGCCCACAGTGGAAATCAGTATTTTTGATATAGATCTCTCCACACACCTATGCATCCAAACTCTGGTCTATAGAATGTGGAAGCACTGACACTAGACCTCTAAGACCGCTGCATCCCAAGGGCATCTGTCACTCCAGAAAGTGAGCAGAGACCAGCTGTTCTCACTTTTAGGCCAAGCCACTCCAAAGTCTTCAACCTAAACAGTTCACCCCTACACAATGATGGGCCTTGGAAGGTAGATTTGTCCTTCCTCTCAGGCAGCTTCCTCCATGTCTCATCACTTAGCCTCCATGTGATAGTCTTACTCAGTTTATCTCGGGGTAGGAGCAAAACTACACAATAGATTAAAGACACAGGTATGCATCTTCTTTTTGTTTGTTTGTTTCAGTTGAGTGGAGGTCCTGTTTTTGTTGAGGCACCTCCTCACTCCCAGAGATTAACCTTAATCCTTTTTCAGCAGCAGCAATTTTAAAAATCATGCTCCAGTCCCATCCTAGAATTATAAGGCTTAAGCATGCATCAGTGCAATAGTATTTTTAGTTACCATCCTGTTTTGCTTGTGTATCTGAATAATTTGACTCTTCATTAACTGCGTAGCAGCTTCCGCTCTTCTAAAGAGCTGCCTGAAATTAATGCTTGTTAATGAGCTATTACTCAAACAAAGTGTTTCCGTGTGTTAATTGCAACAATATAAGCACTTGTTGAAGAGGGAAAGAGGAACTTTTCGACACTGGTTTTGGTAATGTCTTTCCAGAACATTTTCCAATGGTAAGAAAGAAATGATTGAAAATGGAGCCTATTTATAACCACTTCTTTCAGCCAGCAGTGAATCAGAGACCAGCCACGCAATCTGTATTTTGTGTGGTTTTAACCAAGAAGCTCAAATGGCACTGTTAATGGCTCATCTATAAACTTAAGAACTACTTTTCTGCATTACTCTAAAACCAATAAGACCAGCCATACAGGCTTTCTTCAGATGAGCCTGACTACCATTATACCCATATACTCCCTAAGTGGGGTAGGGCAGTGATCCCCACCTTGGGCCTCCAGATGTTCTTGAACTACAACTCCCAGAAGTCTTCACCACCACCTCTGCTGGCCAGGATTTCTGGGAGTTGAAGTCCAAGAACATCTGGAGGCCCAAGGTTGGGGACCACTGGGGTAGGGGACTCTAATAAGCTACCAAGGAACATTTAAGGTCTGTAGGAAGCCTACATACAAATGGAATTGGGTTTAGTCTATTCCTTGGATAAGCAAGACACACATTAATACAAGTAAACCTGGGTGGAGGAGCATTAGTATTGTTACCACTGCTTTTCAGAGGTTGGAGTAGTTGTTATTTTAGACTGCATCTCCCAGAATTGCAAATTAACATGCGTCACTATGCTGGCTAGAGGTATCCAGGAAATGACATCTCAAAACTCCGCTATTACTATGTTGCAACTGCTTAAGATTCTCATGGCTGCAACCACGTAGTCAGTCACTTTGTAAGCACCATTAAACTCAATAGGACTTACTTCTGAGTGGACATGTAAAAGACTACTCCGCAAGATTTCCTTAGAGAAAGGTACTGTATTTTCCAGGACCAAGGTGGATTGAAAAGAACATATGTAGAAGAAGCAAAAGACAAACCCTCGCCTTTGTGAATTCAGTAAATGTCTGTTCTTGTGGATATTTTAGCCAGTGTTTTAGAGTTTGTCTCTGCACAGTGGCTCTCCCTGCTGCTTCTCATGTTTTATAGTGAGGGAAGACGGCAGCTTTTTGGATTTCTTTATGAATACCAAGGGGGCAGTATTAAATTTCCAATAATCAGGACTAATTTCTCCTGAAGGACTAAGGCAACAGCAACAGTCCCATTGATAAGATCCATCAGAGTGAAGGAATGTAAACAGTGTAATAAGAATGATGTTCTGACCATAGAGGCTCATCATCTACCAGCTAATCAAGGAGGCAAAGAAGCCTAGTGGCAAAATGGTTAAATTGCAGTACTGCACTAAAGACTCAGCTCAGAACCTGAGTTCAATCCTTATGGGCTCAGGTAGTCGGCTCAAGATTGACCCATCCTTCCAGCCTTCCAAGTTTGTAAAATGAGTACTTAGCTTGCTGGCAGGGGAGAGCAATGTGTAACCAATATAATTAAATTGTAAACCACCTAGAGAGTGCTTTAAGCACTATGGGGCAGTATATAAGCAGCATGCTTTGCTTCGCTTCATTTTTTCCCCCCAGAAGCTAATATTTGCAGCTTGACTCAGGTTTTTTTCCCCAGAAGCTAATATTTGCAGCTTGACTCATGCTTCGGAATAAACGAGATTATGTTCATAATACTAGCAACTAAAATAAAGACAGGGTAAATGGATAATAATGTGGTTTATCCAGAGCTTTCCTTACTGATCACTGATGGGCCAACTCTCCATGGCTTGAATAACAAATTGTAACTATTTATTTATTGAGGGAGAGGGACTGACAACTGTTGAATTTTAGAGTTGCAAAGTATCTCTTCCAGCATCCTGCTACTTGCAGGAATAACACAACTATAGCATCTCAAAGGGAGGTACAAACAGCCTCAGCAGGATATATTCAGCGAACAATAGACCAGCGTCAATTAGTTAAAAATCTCATATAGTTTGGTATGTGGAAATGGTAGTGCTTGGAAGAAACCAGTTACAAGTAACAGTCACTTGGAATTAGTTATATTTGACTAGTAATCTAAAAGTTACTTTTTAGATCTGGCAGGTAGCAAGTACAGTGGTGCCTTGCTTTACGATCGCTCTGTTTAACGATGAAATCGCATTACAATTAACTTTTTGCGATCACTTTATGATGTTTACTATGGGGGAATTTCGCTTTGCAGTGATCGGTTCCCTGCTTCGGGAACTGATTCTTCGCAAAACGATGATTTTCCTCCAGCTGATCGGCAGTTTCAAAATGGCCAGCGGGTAAACAAAATGCCCCCCCCCGTTTTCTGCGACGGATTCCTCACTGCACAGACAGCGAAAATGGCCGCCCTATGGAGGATCTTCGCTGGACAGCCCTTCCACCCAGACCGGAGAAGTGTGGGAAGTGAATGCTGTGGTGGTAGCAAAGGAGCAGCAGCAGGAGGGGGGGCCTTATTGTTTAGAGTTAAAGTCTTTTCAAGAGCCTGCTTCTGGAGGATTTTGCTTTTCAAACTTACTTTTGAGGGTATTTTTGGAGGTACTTTTAAAGGATATTTTTGGTGGGGGGGGGGCAGAATGATTTATGCCATTCTTGTATCAGTCCAAAGTGGTGAATAAAATATTGTTGAGTTGCATCTTTTGTATTTTTATATGTATTTCCACCACACAATATCAAAATTGGCCATTAGAGAGATTCTCTTTTTTTTCCTGTCCTCTTCTATGTTAATAACACACCATGTGTTAATAATGCACAACAGCGTGTGTGAATGGAGGAGTAATAATGAGGTCTGGAAAACTGCAGTGGGGACAGAAGGATGGGAGGTGCTGACATTGCCCATCCTGGCATTTTTTTCTTCCAACACCAGGCCCCTGACATGTAAAGTTTTTTTTTCTTGAAAAATAAAAATATTCTAACCATATTCATCCGTTCTAACATCTGGAGCCATGAGGGCTTCAGCATTTGGCCAGTTTTGCTGGCACTAACACCAGCCCTACTACCATGGTGAGGCCAAGCACTTGGGTCTTGAGGAAATAACTGTCTCCTTGTATGAGGAAGGGCTCCTGCAGTTAAGAAAGTGATTGTATGGCTACCTCTGGGATGGTGGTGGGGAAAACCACAGGTAGAACAGTGCTTGGTAGGTGTAGAATGGGGATTTGATTATGCTTACTGTTTTTCTCTGACTCATCAGCCCAAAAAGGAGCACGGTGGTACCACATGTAAGAAAAAAGAAGACGACAGGGAGGGCTGTGCCCACTCACCACCAGAGTAGTCCCAGAAGTGTTGCCCTTCCACCCAGGCCAGAGAAGTGTGGGAAGTGAATGCTGTGGTGGTAGCAAAGGAGCAGCAGCAGGAGGGGGGGCCTTATTGTTTAGAGTTAAAGTCTTTTCAAGAGCCTGCTTCTGGAGGATTTTGCTAGTCATTCCTCCACAGGGGTGTTCAGAGCCTGACGTTCAGGATATGGTCAGCTCCAGAAAGCTCTACACAGCAGCAATAATTTTACAGAGAAGCTAAGGTCTTGCTTGGGCAGTTGGCAGATGTTCTACACCTCCCAGAAATCCTGGCCAGCACATCTAGTCATGAAGACTTCTGGAAGTTTTAGTCCAAGAACATCTGGAAACCCAGATTGGGAACCACTGCTATATAGCCATAAATGACTTAGGGCCAGTATACTTAAAGGATTTCTTGCTTCCACATACACATAACTAGTCTGGCCGTAAAGAACATGTATCGGAAACTGCCCCCCCTCCCCACAGCAGGAAGAAAGGGGATTTCTCTGAAAGAGGTTTCCCATGCCATTTAGGCTGGCCTAGCCTGGCATGTTATTTCATCAACAGGTGTGGCTCTCCCTATTCGCATCACCTTATTGGCTGTAGAAGAAGGACAAAAGTTTTGTAACAGATCATATGTTTATTTCCAAAAGTTTCAGGTTCAAATCCTTGGTGTTTTCAGGTAATGTTGACAGGGGCAGGGGGACCCCTGTTTGAAAGTCTAGACAGCTATTGCCACATGGTAGGTTATGACTTGGTGAACAGTAGAATGAAGTGGAATTAGGGGAGTGTAATTGCACAGTGTCATTACATCCCTCTGTTAATCCTAAGTGCCTTTTTTGGAACTCTTATGTGGAGGGAAAGAGATGACATTAGATTTCGCCTATTATTTGCCATTTATTTGGTTGCAATTTATGGTTGCCATTTATTTGGATTTGCTTTCTCTTGAGATGACCTACTTGGAAATGTAGGTAGATGCTCATTGTGACCGTTTCCATAGCACGCATACACATTGAGAATTTTAAAAATGCAAGTAGTTGAATTGGTCCATTTTTAAAAATGAGAAGCAAGTATTTTGTAAAACGAATGGCTCTTAATTGTCCCTTCAAGACCAAGTCGCCTTCAAAATACTTTGCATGCGAGGTAGCTTGCAATGGTATTCTATACTTGGAGCAAATCCATTTCTCTGCTCATGAGAAGACTGCTGTTGAACTCAGAGGGAAGAGGGAAACCTTCAGGGTGGGGTTCCATTTTTAAAAATGAAAAGCAAGTATTTTGCAAAACGAATGGCTCTTAATTGTCCCTTCAAGACCAAGTCGCCTTCAAAATACTTTGCATGCGAGGTAGCTTGCAATGGTATTCTATACTTGGAGCAAATCCATTTCTCTGCTCATGAGAAGACTGCTGTTGAACTCAGAGGGAAGAGGGAAACCTTCAGGGTGGGGTGGGGAGAAGGTGATGCCAATATCCCTGCTGATCAGATAATCCTGGAGCTTTGATCCTGCAAGATCTGGTTGCATAGCACCACTGCTAATGCCTTAAGTTGTTGATCTTGGCTGGCCAGTTTTTCAAACAGGCTTCCATTTTGTTTGAAGTGGCTGCTGCTTGCCAACTCTTTCTGAATTTAGTGGATCCACTTATCACATATTTGTTCCTCTATATTCAGTATAATTGCTGATTGATAAAATGTTCCCTATTAAATACACCCTGGGGGCTTACAGCTCCCCTACACTGAGCTCCTTTTATTTAAACATCAGGAGGCTTAATTTATGCAACAAACCTTATCAGAAGCATCTTACATCTAAAGGGAAGTTTGGGCTTTGGTAGCAACCATACTGAATGAGGAATTGCAAATTTACATTGATTTAATCACCCTGGTGAGGAATTGCATTGTAATTGTTTCCTATCTTCTTAGATATTCCTTGATTAATTTGCAGGAGGGGCTCATTGAAAGCAGCAGGAAGGAAAGGCAGACCAGAACTGGTCTAATTAAAGTGAAGGATGTTGGATGGTAGCTTAAGTGTCTGTGATGAAGTGTACAAATCCCATGACAAATGAGTGGAGCCTGCCTAGAGCTGAAGGGAAATGTGAGGTGCCTGCATGTGGCAGAAGCCAGCATGTGGCTCCTGCAAAACACAGCAGGAGAAAGATTCCTTAAGGTTAATGTGAACTGAAAATATCCTCCATATACAATATGCATGAAGGAATGGGCTAAGGCTACCACCACATTTGAGGTGGGACAGACATTCTGATACTCTTACCATATATATAGACAGGTGTATTTGGTAGGTGCAACATCTCTCTTGCTACTCCTTTGGGTTCAGAGCAGTCTTACCATTATGTAGAACAAGATTACATGGGAAAGCACAACTCTTGCTCCTGACCACTCACTCCAAATTGACTGGCCATTGTCCTCTTAGCCTCGTGTCCTAGGCTATTTGCTTGTTGCTAGGCAAGCTGCA